CTTTTTCTAATGGCATGCAAATCCCAGCCTTTCCTCTCCTCTCGCTGGCCATAGAGTAACTTGTCTTTGGCAGATGTCTATTTTTTTTTGTGTGACTGTATGTGTGCGCACTTTAATCCAACACATTTTAAGTTTAGTAACAACCCTTCTCAAACGTCAAACTCACTTTGTAGTGCTTAGTTGTCTCCAATTTATCTGGACATCCTAGCTTTTGATGTTCATCCCACATTTGAACAATTTGTCACCCTCAGAGGCATGTAGGAAGATTAAATTAGTCATTTGATTCATCACAAGCCTGTAACACATGTCCAGGGCTGCTTCTTTCTCCAAAGTTACAAAGACACACCCATAAACACACACACGCACACACACTCACACACAGATCTTTGATGCATGGTGATTGTTGGCTGATTTGGGCTTGTAATCACATCAAGGGTGACAGCAGAGGCAGGGATAATGTGGTCAATGGCTCCACTTTCTCCACTACACACACACATATCCAATCTAATACACACACACATACACAAAAGCACACAAAAATGAAAGAGCAACAGCTTGGAGTTCAGATCAGTGAAGATTTTAACTTGCCCATGGGACAACCTCCTTTCAATTAGCGACCCAAACAAGGAAATCACTTTCATCCTTGTTACCGAGGTAACACTGAGGCCATCTCCCTGCCCATCTGTTTCTTTCTCATCCCATCTTTTAAGTAGAAGAAAACCCACACCCCTCTTTTTGCAGACAGATTTCACTCACTCCGCCTTCCGCTCCTTCCACCCATCTCTCCGAATTGACATTTCTGCTATCATTTCACCCTGAGTAAACATCTGAAACCTCAAAATATCCATCCTCTCTGAGCTCGCAGAGGTAGCAATTTGTGCCTGGGCTTGGTATCCATCGCTGTGTTGAAATCTGATGAGCGCAAACAAGAAAGCCACCACTGAATTACAGAGCACAGCCGGAGCTGGAAGCCGTCCAAGAGCAGCAGAGTTGTAAATGATTTAAGAGAAAAGCTGCATGTGAGAAAACTCATTTTGTTTTATTTGTGTGTCTAATTCACTTATTTGAGCTTTTCAGGGGGCAGGTACAGGGAGCGTGGGGGAAGCTGGTGTGCTCCCAGAGATGTTTTATTGCAGAGGAAAAGCTTCTGTGCAATAAAATGAGAGAGGGGACTTTATTTCTATGATGCTGCTGGGATATCCATCCGGGCAGGCAGCTTGTGAGGCTTCAGCACAGCGTTCAGCCCCCAGGGTCCCACAGCGGAAATGAAAAACATGTTTAACTGAGGAGATATTAGCTGTTGGTGGCACAAGCGCTTGTCCAGATGAGTATGTGAAAGAGGGATAAGAGAAAATAAAGGAAGAGGAATGATGATGGGCAGGGAAAAATACAGTGGAGTCTTCTTTTTTTTGATGGGATGGTTCATTTTTAAAAGAAAAGGATGAGAGAGGAGAAGAGAAAATGACTTCTGTGTAAAATCCAGCTGACAGAGAGGCTTCCAATCAGAGTATGTCACAAACGAGTGTAAAGAGTTTGTCTCAGCAATTCAAAATGCCACGGATTGATGCTAAAGGGCTTGTGGTAATAGTGTGTTATACGAACAATTTAATGAAAAACGTGACATGAATCCCTACAGACCTGACGGGCTCTGGAAATGTGCTCCACTGAGAACAACTAATTGCTCTTGGGATAATTGGAATCTAAAATAACACAATTTCCCCCGCAAGACTCCTCCTGTTCTGCACTGTAGAAGTAGGCATAAAGAGTAAGAGAAGCAGATTGGAGCGCTCACAAAGAAACTGCCGAGTCCTATTAAACACAAATAAATCAGAGAGAGTATCGCTCCACATGAGGACAAGCAGCACCAGTCACCATCAGGGGAAGCGGGTGCGACTCTCGCTACGTTATAACCCGATATACACGGTAATCTGCTGCGATCCACGTGTGTGACATCCCTGTATCCCTGTGTGCCAGAGGCGCAGCGCTGCCCAACACAAAACGTCCCAAGCATCCTCTACGCAGCGCGTCCTGGAGAGAAACATTTCCACACCTACAAGCAAATATAATCCCAATCTCTTATTTACCTTCCATGGCAGAAGATGTGATGACCAGCGCGCATAGGAGCGCAAACAAATCCACCGTCATGGCAGAAGGGTAGTGTCCACAGCCTGTCTGTCCCCAAATTACCAGGACGCACGGCGCGCGTCAAAAGAATCCCCTCAGTTGTCAGAGCGGTACTCCAGCAGATAGCCCGTGTTGTGAGTCACATTTCAAGCCGTAGTAAACAATGTGTGACAATCAGCGCAGGGGAAAGAACGAAGTGTAAGGGACTGAGGGGTGCGAGGAGAGGGGGGGTGGAAGGGGAGGGCGAGGGAGACCCGACATTGCATGCTCAAAGCCCCCCATTAGAGGGCTGGGGCCAATCAGCGTCTGGGAGCGGAACTCAGTAGCCAATCAGTAGAGCGCCGCTCCGCCTACCTCGCATTGTCAAAGCACAAAACTTTTCCTTGACCTATTTCAAGCAACGTCCGCTTCACTGAAGGGAAATAGCGCCACCGCTCGGATGACTGGAACTATTGCACCATGAGTTCACGGAGTTCCAAAGCTGCACCCATGGGAGACGATGTAAACGACATAATAGAAGGGGTGAAAAGAGAAGTCCTACTCAAATATCCATCTGAAGGAAAAGTGCAGTTACTTTTATTACACTTTACATCAGAAGAGTACCACCAGCAGTCTGTTGATCTACTCCAGTAAAAGTAAAATGTACTTCAACAAAATTATACTTTAACTACTTTCTTATAAGCATTACCCCCCACCCCCTATAAAAATAAGAAAAGATAAAAAAAGAAAGAGGTAATTTTGATTTTAATGAGTAAAAATTGCAACCACTGCAGAAAACAAAATCTTCTTGATAGGTTCCTTAAACATGCATACAAAGCTCACTTCAGTGAAATCGAAATGTCTTAAAATGAGGTACATATTTGAACATGTTTGTTTAATGTAGCTCATAATCAGTGTAATGAGATATCTGACTAGAATTTGGACAACAATGTGTATGTTTTGAGCTATTTCTTTAACTGTGTAACTACTTTGTAAAATGTAATGAATGAATTAATGTGATTTTATTTATAGCAGTTATTTTCCAGCCCTGCTGACATTTAAATTAATTGATGTCAAATAATTTCTCAGGCTTTGTCACACGTCAGGCTATCACAGTTTTGTTTCTTTTAAGTATGATAATACGTATGATAATAATTGTACATTTTATCCAACTCTTACAGACTAGAACCACTTTAATGTGCAAATAAGACTACTATTTTAATAACTAATAAAAGGCAAGTTGCTCTCTTTGCCAGCTCCCTTATCCCCCGCAGATGTTGACCCTTTTTGAAAATGTCTGAAGTAGCATCAAACAGGCTTCAGTACCCTCTCTTTCTCATTATCTATACATAAATGCACATCCTATTTGCAATCTAAATGCTCTTTAATAGCTTTAGCAAATTCATCTGCACCGTCTAATAACATTAAACAGGCGTTGCACATCAGCTCCCTCCCTTTGCTGCTGACACCCCTTTTGTGTGCGCGTGTGCCGCAACAGATGGTGCACAGCACAATGGGGCTTTTTTTTTCCCCCTCAGGGACTCAGAGGACCAAGGAAGGGGGCTGTTTCCGCCCCGAAGCCCATAACCATACACCTGTCTTGGGCTTCAAACATCCCCCTGAGTCTCTGGAGCTGAAGACATGAGATGGAGTTGTTAATCTCGAGCCTGAGTAGGTCCTGGTGTTACCCGGGGCCACTCAATGGCCTGATGCTTCAGTGGGGTCCCTTCACAGCACACTGGCCTACATTTCTTTTTCTTTTTTTTTTTTTTACCTGCTTTACTTTATGCAGGTCTGATAAAAAAGAAAGCCAAATTTTGGGGTTATCAATTATTATGTCGCATAAAAAATAAAAGTCTCTATTTTGTTTAGACCTCACTCCTAAGCGATCAAAATCTATTTTTCACAACTGCTTTTCTGCATCCATCCTTTGTGCTTCTTTGAGCCAACTCCTAACCTTCCCAATGACAAAAATCAAACCCTCTGTAAATGAAAAGTGACTCACACTTAATAAATAGCTGCTCCAACTGTGCCAAAGTTCAGCAGATGAACTGGGGCAGACCCAGCGCTTCTGGAGCATCAGGCGGTGGATGCTAACTTGGGAAACTGGTTGATAAGAGCATTTGTCATTTTTAATGGTGTGGTGAGGAGCGCTGCTACAGTGTGACATGGCATGGCACAGCACGGCCTCTGGTGCTGGCTCGCCATGTAGGTGTTTGATAGCCACCTGGCCTTATTTTTCAGCGAGCCGGCCATCCTCACCTATGACTCCACAGGTCGAACGCGAACGCAAGAGCAGCACGGAGCAATCTGTCCCACTTTCTGTTTGCTGTCCACACCCTGTAGGAGGGGGGGAGGGGAGGAGAGGAAGGAAGGAAGAGCACGAGGAGAGGAAGAGGAACAATGGTGCTTGCTGCTCGAGCACATCCTCCCGCACAATGCACAAGCAGACAAACGCACACGCGTACAATAACACAAAAACGTGTAAGCATGCGGCCCGCTCTCCCACACAGCGCTCTGATAATGATCCACACAAAGCCGTACGAGCACTTGCCTACTTGAGCTCAAGAGGCTCAGTCCAATACCAATACTGAGCCCAACGCATTGTAGAGAGCCTCTCTTCCTCTCCATGGCCTGATTTCTTCTGTGTGGTTGAGTCTGTGAGAGCATCAGCAACCAGTTAGTTTTTTGTTTCATGCATTCCTCCGTTAAAGGACAGATTCCAGACAAAATGAAGAGGCAGTCCGTCTTGTTCATGTGTCCTCTGGCTTCTATTTGATTTCAGGGTTTCTCCATTCTCTGCATTCTGGGAGCTGACCCTTACATTATGAGATTTGACCTGTAAACATCAAGTGACTACCTCTATACAACCAATGCGCTATGACCTTTACATGTCTCCTCTGTCTTCTGTATCCTGGTTTCAGTTTGGTCACTGGTAAAAGAGAAAGAACATCCAATTTTTCAATGGAGTCTGTGAGGAAATACAACCTTTTAGGATGAAAAAGTGGAGTGCTCTGTATCTAATGGAGACAGAGATGTTTACTTAAATGCAGAGTCATTATTTTGATGTGAAACAGGAGCTCATAATCGAGGTGAAGTTGATAAAAAGCAGACAGCAGAAGAAGAAGAGTAAGATTCTAATGATACAGAATGAGAGAGTCAAGAGCAGATATATGGGAAAGATGTTTCCCAGGGACTATGGACGCTGGAAAGGTTTGGCTGCTGATGAATATGAATGCATGGAAATGAAATGCCTAAGTCAATATGGAGACAGTGCAGGGACCCAGGTGACAGAGGAGAGCAGTGGTACACCCACCCTGAGGGGAGAGACTGGTTATTAGGCCGGGGTTTAGCTTCATCCATCTTCAGGAGTCTGGGCGCCGTCCATTGACAACAGAAGTGCAGAGCCAGGGCTGAATACAGATGTGCTCTGGACCCGGTGTTCCCCCAAATAGAGGGTCAGGACTCTCTGGTCGCAGCCACAGTTGTACTTTCTGGGTCACGGCTCAAGAGAGGAGAGGGGGGGAAAAGATGCATGAGGTTGGTTAAGTTTGCCTTTAACTGTATTTTTTAAAGGCTGTGCAGAATGTAAAGTACAACTCCAAAGACAATTTTCTCTGTAAAATGTAGATAGAGCTGCGGAAAAAAAAGAAAAAAAACTCACAGACTTCTAGCAAATCACATTCAATCTATAAAAAAGTTTAAAGGTTAAAGTTATGCTTGTGCAAGAAAGAAGTAAGACTTTTAAGAGCAGTACAGCTCTCTGACAGCAGGCCAGGCAGATAGAAAGGACAGGCGCTAAATACAGCTCTCATTAATCTGCCAATGATGTAATGACTGATGGTACCTGTCCCCTCCTATCAGCACACACACACACACATACACACTTCAGAGACTTTCAATGCACTTGACTAAAAAGGCAAAAAGGTACAAAAATACCTGAAGGTGCGTGGGGAGGAGATTTAATAAATGTTTATGTTTTGAGAGGGAAATATGACAGAGACAGAAAAGAGGGATTAGACACTGCCTCTCCTCTGCTGAGATGCAGTGAAAGCATTATTTGTTTTGCAGTTTGATTAATAAGTTGAAGCTCATATTCATTCTATTCAAGACTCGGGCTCTTTAGCTACCATTAATCACAACAGCACAATGAGGAGATTCTGCTCAGCGTTGAATGAGTAAGAGCATCATTATAGCTTTGTCAAGTGTGAGTGTGTGAGGAGATTGACTGTGAGTTCATGCGCAAGAGGTTCCTCCTTGTACTTTCTCTTTTTGTGTGTGTGTGTGTGTGTGTGTGTGTGTGTGTGTGTGTGTGTGTGTGCACGCATGTATCCACACTCACGCGTGTAGCCGCTGACTCAAACACAGGGTGATGGATAATGGATGGATGTATCCCTCTCCACAGTCACTCCCCTCGCTGTTAGCTGCCACAGAGATTTCTGTTGCAAACAATGTTGTGGCAGCAGGTGCGCAATCTGTCTCTGAAAAGGTGCATCCCGCACAAAAAGCATGTTAGAGTTTTAAATTTATGAAAGAGGACAAAGAAGTAGACTTTTAGGAGACTATACTATGACAAAACGGCAAAACAAAAAACTAGTGGCTGTTCAGTCCTTAGTACCGAGGAGGAAAAGGGCCACATGAAGAGAAAAAAAATAATTACAGGAAGGAGATTAAAGTCGAAATTTTGAGATTAAAGTTGAAATTTGAGATTAAAATAATCTAAGTTCTGTCAACAAAATCGAAATTAAAAATTGAAATGTCGAGATTAAAGTCAAAATTTCAAGATTACAAAATGTCGAAATGTTATGAATAACATCAAAATTTCAAGATTGAAAAACTTTTTAGGAATTAATTTTTAGATTAGGTTGAAATGTCAAGATTAAAGTCGACATGAATAAAGTTGAAATTTCCATTTTTAATCGATATAATCGGTATTTTGAGATTAAAATAATCAAAATTCTATCAAAAAGTTGAAACTAAAAATTGAAATGTCGAAATTAAAGTCAAAATTTCATGATAACAAAATGTTGAAATGTCATGAATAAGGTCGAAATTTCAAGATTGAAAATTTTTTTACAAATTAATTTTTAGATTAAAAGTGAAATGTCAAGATTAAAGTTGGCAAAAATTTCGACTTCTGTCGACTTCAAACTTGAAATTTTGACTCTAATCTCGAAATGGAAATTAAAAAATCGCCCTCCTGTAGTTTATCGTCTTGTGACCCTAATTCTCTTTTGTACCATAGAGAGCAGGTAAAAAAAATCCTGAAAAATACCTGTGAGGTCCAGAAAAACAAGTAACATCAACCCCAGGAACACAAGAAATTAACTGTTTCTAAATCTGGTGGAGTAACAGAAGAAGAAAATAAGTAAAAACACTCGTGAAGCGAGGTCAGTCAGACAAAGGTTAGACTTAAAGGCAAAGGTAAAAACAGGAAGCATGCAACAAAACCACAGACACTGGAAAATACACTTACCATTAAAAAAGGCAGGAGGTAAAGATGCACTCATGATGGAAAATAAGGAAATAATAATAAATACCAAAATGAATGAAAAACAAAGATTTAAGATGATAATAAGCAAACAAAATTCAACATAATAAGACATCCTCCTTGACTATCCACTGATGAATTACTTCTCTTGATGACTGTGGTGATTAGGATCCATTTATTTGCGTATAAGTAGAGCCCTCTAATTATGGATCAGGTTGATGAGGTTCTTTTGTAGTCACCTTTTCACTTGCAGCATTAAAGAAAGTATTCTATTAACCTTGAATCTTTCAATTTGAGCAATGGCCTTCCCTTTAAAAAAGGGGGTAGCTTGACAGCAACCATGTCTGACACATGGTAAATTGTTTTTTGTTTCCCCTGAACATGTTCTCATGGCGCTAGTCAACTGGGGAGCCTCATAAAGTAGTTTTTCTGTCCACAAAGCAACATTAAGGAGGTGGACTTGTTAATGAGGAAAAACAAAACTAGCCTGACAGCTCATCACTTTATGTCAGCTCCCAGTGACAGCCTATCCTGCTCTTTTTCTTTCTTTTTTGTGTGTCTTTTTTGTTTTAGCAGTCTACTTGTTTGTTTCACAGGGACATCATCAAAATGCAGCCCTCTGTCCCCTCCTCTTCTCTCCTCGACCTGTCTTTTCCCCCTAACTCCGTGGCCTGTGACAGATAGTTCAGTACAATCTATCAACCCCCGTCTGCCTCTGACTCCATCAGGGCCACTGCTTTGTCAAGCCACGTACACATGGACATGACGCGCACACACAACAGCCTCCTGCATGCCTGAGTCCATACCATTAAACGGGATAAACATCTGGCAGTGGAAAGAGAGAAAAAGTAGAGGTCAAATCAATCTGGCCTCTGTCTGCCATACACTGATCCCCTGTCATAGGCTGACCTCTGCAGAAAGCCGGCAAATGAAACTACAGAGCTGCATTTGAATACAAACAGGGCATCTCTGCTGTCTGAGATGAACACGGTGTATAAGAAAACGTACTGACAGATGAACTCACTGTGGACTAGGCCTGAACGATATATCGTTTGACTATCGTCATCGCGATGTACGTGTGTGCGATAGTCACATCGCAGAGCCTGCGATATTGGAGGTGAATGAACTCATTTAATTTCAAGGGTAACCGACTGAGATACACTCCATGTGACTCTGCATGTGCTTTGCAGCGATCCACCAATCGCCTTCGTCCTTAACTCAGTTGCCAATCAGACTCACTTCTCAGTTGCCAATCAAACTACCCTGCCAGCTGTCAATCAAAATCAGGGAGGAGGAAACCCACCCCTGCACATGTTCTGCACATGGAGGGAGACGTGTCCGCTGAGAATTGCTTTCGGAACTTTACTCATAACTGTTAAGCCCAACAAATAAGAACTGTATGGGTTTTAAATTGTACATTTCCGTGGACCACTCTACTATAAGCAGTGCGCGTTTTGCGAGGTGCATGCAATTCTCGGAGGACATGCGTTTCTCGGCACAACACCGCTAACAACAACAACAACGATCGCAAAATGAACAACTAACAAGCGAAAACCACCGAAAATGAAGATTTGTTGCCAAAAAGAAAAGGAAAGTCAGTTATCTGGAATTATTTCGGTTAAAAGAAGGATGATGTCGACCAAAACACGTCTTCTGTGTTCACCTGTTGCCACAATAACGTCCCAGCACAATAAAAGCTAAAAATATCTCTGAGACAGACAGAAGCCGTTCTACTAACATTCACAAAAAGAGGTAAGATCAGAGCAGATTAACTGTCCTCAAGATTTTAGCAGTGCAGCATAACATTAAGTGCTATTCAGGTCATCTGGTGAAAATACTGTATTTTTAATATCGCAATATATATCGCAGGGTTGAAAAAATCGCAATATTATTTTTTTCCAATATCGTGCAGCCTTACTGTGGACCTTGGAGTACCATTTCAACCAAGCAGAGGTTGTTAATAATCTAAAAAATGTGGAACAGAAAGAATGTCCTCTGAACAACTTCACGGCTGTCAGTGTAAGACAACTCTTAATGCACACATTCCTCCAGTAAGTGTTTGAAATGTTTGTCAGTGTCAAGGAAATGTCAACTGAAGTTGTAAAAAGAGAGTTTAACCACACATTTCTTTGGGTTCTCTATTTCATTTTAAATTGCTTTGCTTATTTTTAATACATGATAACCAAGATGCAACTTGCTTGCACTGGTGCACCTCCCTTCTATGTTTGTGTTAAAGGGATATTCCGGCGTGAAATGTTGTAAAAGAAGTAAGAACATTTATGATCATTACTTTATCATTTCCTTGAAGTAATAATTACTATATTAATCATTTCGCAGATGCGGTAGTTCTTCCGCCTTTGTATCTCGATCTGATTGCATTTCCATGAAGAAATGATCATAAATGTTCTTCCTTGAGCTGTGTCACCCCGCTGCAGTCACTGATGGACCAGTCCGAGGTCTCACTGCAAACAAGCAGCTGCTGGAAGAGAGTAGGTGAGTTGTGTTTAGTCACTCTGCTAAAATAATCGGGCAAAATTAAAAAAGATGTTTGGTGGCTAGCACTATGGCTGGGACCTTATATGTACTGTTGATGAAGCTAGGTGCTGTTCTGAGCATTATTTGTGTCTATAGAGTGGTGTTTTGGTTAAGGTTTGTGTGTGGCTCCTCAGACCACTGTGTATTGCTATCCTGCGGTCATTACTAAAGTTGGTATAACTAGAGAAGCAAGCGGTTGGCAACATTGATCTCTCGACGGGGTGTCTAACTCGGTGTTATGGTGTGTTTAACCCCAAACTAATTTTACACTGGAATGTACTAATTTCAGTTAAAGCTCCAGTGAGGGACTTTCACTTTGTCTCAATTTAGGTGCCCCCTGTGGGCAGAGCAGTCTTTGCTTTTTGTCCTCTGCATGCTTTAACAGCGTCTTATGACACAAATCTCATCTTGCCAACTTTTTGACAGTCAAACTAACATTTAATGTGAATATTTTATGTTAATGTTGTAAAAACAGCACTATTTCTCCAGC